TGTGTACACCCCCCTCCCCTGCCCAGCCTGTTCCAATGTTTAACCACTCTTTCAGGAAAGAAATTTTTCCTTTTAGGAAAAGGAAAAATTAGGCTGGGCACTTTTACAGACCTGTGGTGGGCAGTGTGATACAACAGGAATGTGTGCCGCTGTGGAGCGTGCTCTACCCGCGCTGAGAAAAAACACCTCCAGGGGCCCTCTCTTATGGGAAAAGGGGAGGTCGTGCGCTCCTACGGCTGACTTCTGCCTGATGCTGAGAATCTGCTTCTTCTTTGTTACAGGAACCACTCAAATAGCAGGCGCAAAAAATACCGCAGAAGGGTAGGTGGCTCAGCTGGCGTGGGACTGTTTGTGCTACGATCACAGCTGCTTTTGTGCAGGCATCCCTCCATAAGCAGTGGATGCGTACGGCGATCTCCATTCCCAATTGCCATGGCTACGGCATCCTTGCTTGGCACCATTCCCAAAGGAGAGGAGCTAGAGACAGCGATGTGGCCAGATCACACTCGAATTAGATCTCACTGCCTGAAGAAAAACTCCTTTAAGGTGGCCTCGCTTACCTCTTCTCCTTTTTGGCTGATGGGCAGGGAGAATTCATTCTGGAGCTAGGGTATCCTTCCTGCTCACCGTGTGGGTAAAATGCCCAACAGAGACTACAGATAGAGCGGCTGGGCTGTCCTAGATTGTCCATTGGAATGTGCGTCTGTGCGATCTGTGCTATTTGCTTTTAAAATTTCCTTTTTTTTGTTTGTTTTCAGTTTGGTGAACTCTGTGCCACCTCCCAGGACAGAGCTGGTGACTCTGCTCTTGCCGAACCACCTCGGCAGGTAGTAGCGACTGCAAAAAGTGTTTTATGTGTTCCCTGTATCTGTTTCACTTGTAGCATCAACTTAAAACCCCGGTCAGAGAATGCAGTGTTACGGCTTTGCACCAGTCAGGATCAAGGGTCACAGGGGAAAGTTGCAGTGTTTAGGGGATTGCCCTGCAAAACTTCTCTTGTTTTATAAACTGTTTTATCAAGACGGCCTATCAGAAGTGT